GACGATACGATAAAGTCTAAAAAATTAAGATACGGGTATGATCAGGATACGACTATAATAAAATATATTTGATATTTTTATTATTTTCAACCAACTAAACACTTATATATTTGGTAGTTCTTTAATATATAATAAGAAAAATTAGTAATTTTTTTTAGTTTTAAGAAAATATATATATCGTGTCGTTGTGGTATATTCACAAAGTGAAGTGACTAATTAAAGGAATCAAAACTAATATTTATCTAGTATTTAGAAGTAATTTTTATCAAGATTATAATGTAATAGTTTTACTATATGGTCTTTTGACATGCAATTGTAGATAATACTTAAAAAAACACTCATGTGTCTTTGAAATAATATGAAAATTTTGTTAATATATTGTATGATACGTGAATTCAAAAAAAGATATTAAAAGTTCAACTAAAAAATTATATATGTTGTTCTATTATAAAAGTATCTGTGAAATATCTTAATATTTAATTATTATTGAATACGTAAAAGGTATATTTGATACGTATCCGACGAGTATCGTATTCGATAGCCGAGCATGATAACTGACAAGAATTGTTACTTGTAGTTTGTGGGGTATCTCCGGTGCGAATAAATATTGGGAATAACTATTATATTATATCAGACTTATTAATATAATATAATTATTTAATAAAAAAATGTATAAAATGGGGGCTATTTTTTATTATAGAGGTGATTATGTATTATATAATTAAGTAATTATGAATTTTAATAAGGTTTTCTTATAAATTTATTTACTTATTAGTGAACAATTACAATAGATATTATTACTGACGGTAAATAACAGTTCACTATTTACTCGGAGAATACGAGCAAAGTTATTTGGATATAAAATGTGAATTTAATTAATTATAATTATTAAATAGATAATAAATCTTCATAAATATTGACATCTATAGTGAATGGCATTGATTGATTAAGTTGATATTTCATCCACCATTGCTTGCAGAATGTTCAACTATCCGCGCCGCCACAGCGTGGGTGCACCTCAGTTGCTTCTTTAATCTCTCTCTCTGTCTCTCTCACACACACATACATAACAGCGACAAATGTTCACCAATCTGCCGGCCAAGAAATTGATCTGCCATTAAAAGGGAATCATCTGTATCTTTTCTTCTTTATGTAGTCCATTTATTCCTGGAGAAGATTAAGGAGCTTCAAATTTTATTATTTTAAATAAATATTTTTATAGTTTTTATGAGTTATTTTATACTAAAAAATTTATAATTATTGTGTGTGTTTTTATTATTTTGTTGTAATTGTTTATACCATTTTTGTGGTACTTACGATCAAAAAATTGTAAAATGTTAGTATTAGAATCGGTTGCAAGTATTAGAAAAGTGATAAAAATAGTTATTATAAAAATAATAAAATATCCACAATAATTATAAAAATATTCATAAAAAATTATAAATGACGATACAATACCAAATTTTTTTTATTTTTTTTTGGTATCATAGATTAATTCTTTATTCATTAGTTTCTATAGACTCGATTGTTCAATTGAATAGAGAAATAAATAATTATATAGAGTTAAAAAAAAACAAAGAATTAGTGATTATTTTTAACAAAGTTAGTAATTACATGAACATAGATGATTCAATGAAACAAGTTATTAATAATTGTTTTTTAAAAAAAAAGGATGTTAATAATATTTTAAGAGTGAACACTAGACCCTTTATCTTATTTTTATTAATAATATAGATCGTCTTTTATTTTTTCATTTAGGGACAATACACACTCCTCTGTATATATATTTTTTCTACTAAATTTATGATCAATGATAAAAGATAATTCAATCTAAATTTTGAAGCTAACAATTCTTCAATTATCCATGCAATGAAGTTGAAATACCAATAAGAAAATAATATCGTTCTGCAAATTTACATATTTTGAGTTTGAAATTCGATAATTTTTTTTGGGTCCGGTTATAAGAGATTTATCTCTCGTAAATTTTTTAGTTTCGACGTGGATGGTTTATATTTGACCAAATTAAAAATAAAATTAATCAAAATACGCATAAAATAATCTGAATATTAAAACTCTGCTCTCGTTGGCACAACTATGTGCCAGTATTTCCTTGTATGACGCCATGGCCGTATATGGATTTTTAGTATGATACAAAATTGAGAAGTTTTTACCATTGAGGTGGTAATCAAGTTGGCTTTACTAGAGAGTAAAAGTCTAGCTCTCTTCTGGTTGTCATGTGTACGAACCTGTCTATGATAGTAATTCTTGTGAATTAAATACTAGTAGAGAGATTTAATGTTCAACTTGTCTTTGTTGGCGTTGTGACGATGGATTCAACCATCTTAAGTCCATAGCTATGATTCAAATTAAATATTCTACAACAAGTGAGAACCTCAAAATAATTTCTCGAGGGGTTGATAGTTTTTTTACCTAATATTTTTTTTTTTGAGAAGTCTTTTAAAGCCAAATTGCTCTATGTGGATGGGACCACCCTTATTGGTCTCTCCTCCACAAAAGCTTTACAAAATCAATTTAGCCTTTGTGTTTTTTGTATTTGGAAAGGGTTGTCAAGCCAGTGGCGCAACGCACACTTGGTGGCATTTCAGGTCCGCCGGTGATGATTGTGGATGATAGGGTTTTGGTCATTCATAAGTACCCTCTTCTGATCTATCTAATATTACAATTAATAAATTAATTTTTTAATTAATAAAAGTATAATAATAATCATTTTTTTTTTTTGATTTAATGATATAAAATTCATTCTCAATTTTTTTCCTACTTAAAAAATATATTTTTTACTCCACAACTCTCAATGTTAGACAATCCCACTAATTTACATTTACATCCCTTTTATCTCTCTCCTTTCCTATCTCTCTTATTTTAATTTTGTTTATTTAATTTTAAATTGCATGATTGAAGAAATTTATTCGTTTAAATATTGCACGATTGATGTTTAATTTTTGAAATTATAAAATATCTTCAAACAAGGGGTCTGCTAGTATTATTATAAGATTTGTAGATATGCATGCAACAAATTTTTGTATTAATTTTTTATAATAAATCTTGTGATCAAACGGTAATTTTGAAATATGTGAATTAAGTTTAATACCATACGAAAACATCAATTTTTTTCTTCTTTTTTGGTTTAAAAAAATGAATTTTGTGAGATGTAAGCTTCTTTTTTGGCCAAAGAATATTGCATATAACGATGATACTATGTTATTATTAATATGTTAATCATTAATTAATAATAAAATATCAAATATAATTAATGGTTCTTATTATTTTAATATTAAAAATTATTAAATAAGTTACTTATTAGTTCACGTGGTGTTCTACAATTGATTAGTGGAATTACGTATAATTAAGGATATGATGTCATGTCATGTCACCTTTGCGTGGAATATTTATTTATTTTTTGGGTTCGGATAATGAATCTACTTTGAAGTCGAATGGATAATGGGTGGCGACAAGTCGCAAAGTGGCAACAAAGCATGTATTTTGTAAGGTCCGGAAGCATCGAGGGCGGAGGCAGTTGTGGTTCAGGTGGGCAAGTGCCCCCTCAATTTTTTTTTATTATTTAAATATGTATATTATATATTTATATAATATATTATTTGTACCCACCCAAAATTAAAGGAAAAAATATTAGATCTACCGTTATAATATAGCGAATATGTATTTTAAATATTTTTAATTATGTCAATCCTATTTTTTAACATATTAATTAATGTGCACTTATATCAAATGAATAATTTTAATTATGTTCACCCTATTTTTTTTGATACATCAATTAGTGTATACTTATATTAAATAAATATGAATTTTTTTTGACACATTTTAGACAAATTATGTACCTATCTAGATAAATTTTGAATATACTAAGATTATTTTATATTTTCTAAGTATAAAAAAAACATGATAGACATTTTTGCCAGTTTACTTGTAAGTTTGACATTTATTTTTGTTAATTATGGTAAAAATTATAGAATATATATTGAACTGTATAATCGATCGAATGAGTTATAAATACCAAAGTGATATCATGATTGTGTATATAAATAATAATAAAATTATTATGCAATATTTTTAAAGTACTAAAATTCACCGAAGTTAAATCTAAATAATTTTAATTAGTCAAAATTGTTGTAAAAAAAAATGTTGTTATTTGTATATACTAGACTTACCAAATTTTAGTATGTTCGATTTAATGAATTTTTAAGTATTAAATAGGATGTAATTAAATAAATTATTATCTTATTTTTATCAATTGTAAGAAAAAAAAAATAATTTGTTGAAACATTTGTGTCCATTCTAACACAATTTTCTAATTCTGCCCCTGAAGCATTATAAGTTCCACTTCTCGACCCTTAAAGGAGATTCGGATAATTCAGATATCTAAAGTTTAATTTTTTTTACACTCATATGAATTAGTTATTTTTATCTCTTTAAATATATGTTCTAATCAATTTAAATCATGGTGACTAACCGCTGAACTTAAAATAATAATCAACACAAGTATAAACATTTTATAACAAAAAAAAAAAATCCACATCTCAAAATGAAATTCTAAGGTTTCAATTTTCGGAAGCCAGAGAGGGTGATAAGGTTTATATTATTACCGATTCAAAACATTGAGAAAACAGAATGTACAAAGTAAGTCTTTTTTTTTGTTTTTACCTCTTTATATTCACAAAATTAAAATTTTTTCTTTCTTTCCCGTCCTGTCCTGCACGCCTTATTATATTTTATTCTCTTTCTGCTCTATTTTGTAAGAAGGATAAAAAATTATAAGAATAAAAAATTTGAGGAAAAAAAAGTACGAATGATAATTTTTTTTTGTGTTCGATAAGATGAATGAAAAATAAAAATAATTAATTTTTTTCTCGTGCTTATTAAGATTAGAGGCGACGATCATCACAAATTCAATGAAAAAATAGAATGAAATGCCCCACCTCCCCCTTTTTCTCTCTCTATGCCTTACTCTCTGTGGTTCGGATCTATTATTGTACAGTAGGAGTTCTGTTCCTCAAAACTATATCATTTTACACAAAACAACATCGCATCTTTACTGTACAACAGAGGATTTGTTCCCTCTTCTCTCTCTTGTCCGGATCGTCTACTGTACTGTGGGAGTCCTATCCCTTAAAATGACATATTTTTATAGAAAACGACGTAGCATCCATACTGTGCAACAGAGGATTTCTTCTCCTCTCTCTTTGTGCCCACTCATAATTGGCCAATCCAAAACTATCATCCAGCTGGTCTATCAAGGGACGGTTACCTTCCTCCCAACTATAATATCTTCACCTACTGACTGACTCTCTCTCTCTCTCTCTCTCCTTCCCCTGTTTCTGGATTGATTTCCTTCAAATTAAGCAAAAAGAAATGGCAGAAGAAGAACCAAAGAAGTTAGAGACTGAAGCACCATCATCGGAGCCTCCACCGTCGGCTCCGCCACCAGAACCTGGAGAAGCTCAACCTCCAAAAGATGTCGTCCAGGAGAGAGCCGTAATTCCACCTCCTGACGAAAAACCCGATGACTCCAAAGCGCTCGCCGTCGTTGAAAGTAATCTCTCTCTCTCTCTCTCTCGTATGCACATAACTCCTTTCTTCTTCATCTTTAGCCAATTCCATGGTTTCTGAAAGAATTTTGGATACTTTTTTTCCTTTGATAAAGCAGCGAGGAAAAGAACAGAGAACAAATATACAAAATAAAGATTGGGTATGGGAGATGTTTTCTTTTGGAGGTGAAACACAACTTTTTTCACCGGAGTTTTTGAGAACATATTCAAAAGATTTGAACTCTCAATCTTCAAAAGCCAAACTGAATTGTAAGGAGACTTCGATATAACTGAAGAAGAGGGAAAAACACAAGAAAAAGAAAATGAAACCGTGGGGAACAAAAATCTTTTCACTACAATTTTCGAGTTTTTGAGATGTAAAAAGATTTATTTCCTTTACCCATTAAAGGAAAATATTGGATTTAGTCATAATAGCTAAAAACTTCTTCAGATCTATGAGTGATTCTCGGGATTTCAAAGTCACAAATTCGCACCCTTTTTCATTTATTCTGTTTTTTTAGTTATTGGTCTAGCTCAGATTCATCCTTATCAAAATTTCTGAAATTCAATTCAATTCTAATAATTTCCTGTTGGGATTTACATTTTCAAAGTATGGAAAAACTCGGGAATTGGTGGATCCTCCAATTCTCTTTGAAGGTTGAAGATGTTCCTACCCAAGCAAATCTTCCATCCAAACCCGAAAAACTCTTCATAGCAACTCCCTCTCTCCTCATCTTCCATCCCACAACTCAGTAGCCAGCTTCACTGTTTAATTTTTTATGCATGTGACAGAGGCACCAGAACGTGGAGAGAAGAAAAGTTCTGAAGGATCTGTCAACAGAGGTAACCAAGATTCCTTTTTCAACGTTCAGTTTCTCTAATTTGTTTGCACAAACATGTATGATTCGAACTTTTATTCCTTGTACTTTTTTTTTCATCAGATGCTGTGCTTGCGAGAGTAGCAACAGAGAAGAGACTGTCATTAGTCAGAGCATGGGAGGAAAGTGAGAAGTCAAAAGCAGAGAACAAGTATAGAGCTTCTTGATCATCATATTGAGTATTTTATTGCCAATCTTTGTCACAAGAGTTTTAAGTTCTATGAAGTGGCATTGATTATACCAAAGGAAAATCCTTAATTGTTTCCAGCTGACAAAAAAAACAGAGTGTTATTCTGATCTTTTGATAAGAGTAAAGGGAGAAGACTACGTCACCCAAAAAAAATTTCAGTATCGTATTGTCAAATTTTTTAAGTTTTGTGGGTTGAAAACTTGAGATACAAATTTTTAGGTTTGTTTACAACTTTTGGGATTGTTTGGAATCGATCCTAGAATGTTTTAAGATCGATCCCAGGCAAATTTTTTTTCGGGTATAAAATCCATTCTTGAAGTTTTCCTTTTTATGAGGATGAGCTGAATCTGATATCTGGTTGTCATAATTCAGTTAAATAATGAATAATGGTTGTTATGGGAATCATATTTGCTAATTTTAACAATCTGAAATCCTTGAACAGAGCTCACAAAAAGCTATCTTCCATTGGTGCATGGGAGAACACTATGAAAGCAACTGTGGAGGCTGAGCTCAAAAAGGAAGAGGTAACAAATCATCATTTATTTTATAGAAGATTATGAAACTGCACTCACTACCCAATTAAAATTGTGAGAACCTCCTCATCTCTGTTCATTCTTCTGGTGAGAATATCCGGTTCTCACTACATGAGGTTTCTACTACTACGGGATGATATCTGGGGCTTTTCATCAAGATATACCATCAAGTAATTGTATGTTTAGGAAATCCAACTCAAAGGCACCTGCTCTAAAATGTAGTGGAGTGAAGAGAGTTTTCTTAGGCATTGATTGTGTAAAACTTTAGCAATCTCCTGATGGTGAAAAAGGCCTTACTTATCGGATTTGAGTATGTTTTGACACGATATATGTATGATGAGCAGGAGAAATTGGAGAAGGAGAAGGCACAATATGTAGAGAAAATGAAAAACAAGGTAGCACTCATCCACAAATCAGCAGAAGAAAAGCGGGCAATGATTGAAGCAAAACGCGGTGAAGACCTTCTTAAGGCGGAGGAGATGGCAGCAAAATGGCGTGCTACTGGCACCTCTCCTACAAAACTCCTCGGATGTTTTGGAAGCTGAAACTATCAGGTCTTATTTGAAAGTTGCTGAATGTTCCCTTTGTAAATTTTTCTTTGGGCTTTTATTTTACACTTTAGGTGTATTGTGTACTTATATACTGGGGGAGAATTGGTGATTGTTCATTATTATGTATACATAGTGGTAAATTTGTATGTATATTGCCCTCACGTGAAGAAAAATGTTCTNTATTGTGTGCTTATATACTGGGGGAGAATTGGTGATTGTTCATTATTATGTATACATAGTGGTAAATTTGTATGTATATTGCCATCACGTGAAGAAAAATGTGCTTGAAAATGACTTATTACCAACTATTCTGAACTATCCCCCTCTCCCCTTAAAGAAAAAGGACTGCCTTCCCTTATTTTTTTTCCTCAGGTTAAACCAAGTACTGTTTCATATTGTTTTTCTAATTTTTTTTGTATAATTTTTATATTTTTATAGCACTATGGCTGTTACTCTGTTCGTGTGTTTATGTTTTTGGGGTTTAGAAGGCTTCAGAAGTTCAGTCCTGGTAGTCAGAGTTTATCGAAAATGCGCCTCAGATAATATGGGATTGCAATGCTCTATACTAGTGAACACACAGAACTACTGGCAAAGTAGCCCACAAATTACCATATCGTATTTTGAGGTACCTTATCCCTAATTTTCTTCACAAAGAATATAATGAAATGTAACAATAGAGACAGATTCACACATCTTCAGCATGCATAAAATGTCTGGTGGATTACTAAAACATCAACCATGTAGATCAGTTTTTGAAGACAACCACTTAACAAAAACCCCTTAGCAGTATTTGCTATGTCCTAGGAAGACCAACTAGAGTGATTAGAAGGTTCCTTACAGGTCATGTGACAGGCCCCAGAATGCCATCAGCTCCATGCATACTACTTCAAACAGTACCCTCTAGGCAATCTGATTTAATGTTGAGAAAAATGGAAACATCATATGTCTCTCCTTCTAGTAGTTCCATATAATTACAACTGGGGATATCTAGCAGCAGCTTTTGTGCTGTATCTGAGAAATCATCCAATTTATATGAATTTGAGGAGCGTGAACCAGCCGCCATATCTTCTGGATCCTGTTTGCAGCTAATCTGGGTCATATCTGTTTGTTTGTCAGCCTGGTCGATTGACGTAAATTTCTGGGCAAGCATAGAGACTCCTGAAACTGATTCAACTTTTGTCGATGAGGATGTCTCAGACATTGGGCTTTGACATGCCACTTCATCTTGTTCTATAGTTTTTCGAAATGACTCCCCCACTTCAGAATACCATAGACGGAGGAAGTAGTTGCACTCAGTTGATGATGGTTTGAGGAGCAATGAATTCATTGACTGCTGGGCCTCAGCCTCCACTCGGGCACACTCGTTCTGTACCATATGGCGAGTCGATGCGGACTCGGGTTTCGTGTGCATTGATTTAGTACCAGAGGATTGCCCATGGATCTGGAAGTTGAGGCCTTTATTANTCCACTCGGGCACACTCGTTCTGTACCATATGGCGAGTCGATGCGGACTCGGGTTTCATGTGCATTGATTTAGTACCAGAGGATTGCCCATGGATCTGGAAGTTGAGGCCTTTATTCAACAACTGCTTCTTTAGATGAGAGTTCCAGAAATTCTTGATCTCATTGTCCGTTCGTCCTGGTAAATGGGAGGCTATGGCAGCCCACCTGAAAAAAGCAGGAACTAAGTCTGTGCAGCGAAGTAAAATTGCACAAATTCACAACACCTTAGCCAATTCACTTGGAAAACAACATAAATTAGAAAATTAAACACCAAATATTGAGTTCACTAGTGTTTATGTGCGGAAATAGCTTCTGTTGTTGTAGGGGTAAGACTACGTATATCTAATCCTCCCCAGACCCCGCAATGACAGGAGCCTCGTGCACTGGGTACAACCACTAGTGGTTATGTAGCCTACAATTGTTCAGGATTCAGTAAATTTGCTGCTCCCACTGAGCTGCACTGAGAAATAATACTCTTCATTCTTAAATGCAACCAGTAAGTACAGTCATAGATGAAATTTCACAAAAGCTCAACTCTGAAAGTATTGTACCGGTCTTGGAAAATCTAACAGATGCCAACAGCTGTACATTCAAGTGGTATCCTAGGAGAGCCTCCAGGAAATATTAACTTTGAAAAACGCATGCCTGTAATACCAAATATGCAGAGCAGAACGTGATTACCTTATCAAGTCGTCCTTTTTCATTGGTGTAGATCAGATGGGGGCTATATAGTTGTCACGTTTGATTAAGACAAGGGTGGCATAGAACAGAAGCAAGGTATTTGGACTATAACTTGCTGCTTGCTATGGTAACAAATATAATTTCAGAACTTAGCATTAATACAGAAAGAGACTTATAATTCATGAAAGAGTACACTATATGTGAAAGGACAAGTGTGCTTTACTTTTTTGGAGGGGTGAGGGGAAACGTCCAAGCTCTTCACATGTCCTATAAAAGCTTGTAAAATAACAAAATCGAAATGCTGACATCTTCCACCCAAGATTTGCAAACAAATACGTGATTGAAAAGAATACGTGAAGCTAAGTAAAAATGTTCAACAAGCACATTTGTTTATGCTTTTAGAACAACCTTATCGTGTCATGGGTAATTTTGAACAAACTTCTTAACCATGATACCAGGAGTAAAGTAGTACAATAGTCCAATTTAGTATTCATCTTGGCCCTGTATGTGACAGAGAAGTTGCATATCAAACATCTAAAACTAACAAGCAGCAAGATAACTACAGAGTCTAGAAGAAAATTTTAATGACAATCTCCAATGGTCATATAGAAATTCAGCTAGTAAAAAGGAATCTGGAATAGAAAAATGAAGCAATTAATTACTTGTTACCGAGCATGCCTTGCAGCTGAACAATAGTATTCTGTTCCTCCGGACTTAAGGGACCAAGTTTAATGTCAGGGCGGAGATAGTTTGTCCACCGAAGCCTACAGCTCTTTCCGCATCGGAGAAGACCTAGAAAAATGGTTTAATGCAATTTCTCAACTAATTTCTGGATTTTATCCAACAGTTGAAAATGAGACTCCATATGATGATATGTAAGAACACAAAATAGCCAACACAAGGACCCCTTTTAATTTTATGAGTAAACAAAATATAGGTGCAGGTCTTTACGTGCAAGTTGTTGAGTTCTTGGATTTGATTTGGTTATGTAAAGAACACATTAGTTCGATTATCCATGTGTTGGTCCAATAAGTGAATCAAAGACGGGAACCTACTAATGTCGTAGGCATAAAGAACTAAACATATTTCCTATATTTTGCATATCTAATGTGTCACACATCAATTGATTGATGCAAACATCAAGCATCTGTTGGACAAGCAGAGCCTTCTCAAACTTGATAACCCTCCCGTAGTGAGGTGCAACACAAGGGCTAATTAATCAAAAGAGCTCATAGCAACATCCTGAATATGATGCTAAATAGTACCCATGCTCAATTATGAGACCAAAAATAACCACGATTACACATTGNCAAACTTGATAACCCTCCCGTAGTGAGGTGCAACACAAGGGCTAATTAATCAAAAGACCTCATAGCAACATCCTGAATATGATGCTAAATAGTACCCATGCTCAATTATGAGACCAAAAATAACCACGATTACACATTGGAGCAATGTCACAATTCGGGAAATACATGTAGAAAGAAAGAATCATCTGTAATCTGAATTTGTTTACGGGCAAGCATACTAACTCCTCTTATTATCTCATTGGGTTTTTAACTGTGTTCAAAGCTTCCAAAGAAAAAAAGCATAATGGTTAGGTATCCCTAGTATTAGCTAGTTTAGACACTGTAAAGAAGTCTCTGGCTTTCAGTTGAAATATATTTTGATTTTCTGCAGTTCAAGAAAATTTGCAACAAGCTAAACAAGACAGAACTTCTTAGTCTCTTACAACATACAAATCAACACAAAGGTGTCTCAGTATGCACAAATCAGAATTCTATGTGCCTTCACCAAAAGATGCATACTCAACCATCAAAGTATTTAACCTTCAAATTTCTTTCCAAACCTAACACTCAACAACCACTAAACTATGCATACCCAAGTTATGACAATATAAAAAACCCAATACTAGAAATTTAATTTATAAACTTTAAAAAAGAAGAAATTTTGTATAATACTAAAACAAAATCGAACCTGCACGTTGAGGGAGAGAACGCCAGGTACCATGGCCATTCTTGGTGATGAAGTCAATAAGAATCTTATCCTCTTCAGGACTCCATGCTCCTTTCCTCACAGCATCTTTGTCACAACAAGGTGCTCTTCCCATCTTCTCCCTCTTTCTCTCTCTCCTCATTCAACCCTCGAAGCATCAGAAAGTCTTTATGGATATGCTTTTTTTGTGAGCTGTGGAGAGAGAAACAGATATGTAGATGTTGATAAGACGGATCAAACGAATGTCGAAGGCATTGAATGCTCTGGATCCCATCTTCTTCATTAATCGAAACACATTATGGCAGAGATCCGTACAGCCCGTAATCAATATCGGTTGGGGTCCTCAGAATGTGGACTTTGCATTTACTCCTAGTTACATTACTATCTTGTTCTACGCCCAAATATATATAGTCTCTCTCAGCCACATTTTACGGAGAAAATAAAAAAAAAATGGCGGAAACGAAAAGGAGGTGAATTTGGTAGCGATGGATACTCACCAGAAAGTCACGTGTTTGTGGCTAATCATAATTTTTGGGGAGTTGAGTTGATGAGTTCACAATTTTTGTCCATGTTCTTCGATCCAACAGTAAGTTTAGGGCTTGTTCAACCACCATATTCGATTTCGGGAGCTGAAAATTTCGAGAATTAGAAAATGTTTCTCTCTCTCTCTCATCGTCCTCCTCCTGCTGCTGCTCTGAGCTGGTGTGCTTAGGCTCTCCGGTGTACTTCTGGGGTGAATCAGATTTAACATTTTGTACCCTACAAGATTTTAAAATTTTCAATTTACACTCCTAATAATTAGTTTTCTCATATTGCACCCTCGGTATTATAAAATAGTTGTAATGCGGTACTGACACTAACTTCCATAATTATTTTTATCAAAATTCACTGCGTTTAGGGTGGGGGCCACAGAGCAGATTTGACAAAAGTTATAACAGAAATCAGTGTAAGAACAATATTGAACTTATTTTATATTATTGAGGGTGTAATATAAAAAAATTAATTATGAAAAGTGTAAATTAAAAATTTTAAAATCTTTTAAATTACAACGTGTAATTTGCTCTTACTCATTTACACGCTAAAAGAGTAAAAGATCACAGAAAGATGTGAATTGATTAGGCAAATTCTATTGCAGCCCCTATAGTTTGGTTGAATTACACTTTACTCCCATCAAAGATAATATCATAATAACTATTTTGAGTTCGCATACCAAATACGTACGTGGATCTGCATGGGCCGGAGCAGGCATTGGACATTGGAAGGCCCAATANATCAAAAGAGCTCATAGCAACATCCTGAATATGATGCTAAATAGTACCCATGCTCAATTATGAGACCAAAAATAACCACGATTACACATTGGAGCAATGTCACAATTCGGGAAATACATGTAGAAAGAAAGAATCATCTGTAATCTGAATTTGTTTACGGGCAAGCATACTAACTCCTCTTATTATCTCATTGGGTTTTTAACTGTGTTCAAAGCTTCCAAAGAAAAAAANGGTCAACCTTGCCATTGGGCCGCAATCTACTTAGCTGGTTTATAATTTTTTTTTTTTCATTTAATCATGTTCAAAATAGTATTCGCGTATTTTGATTAATTTTTTTTTTTATCCGGTCAAAGGCATCTCAATATCGGAACTAGGATATTCACGAATGATAAATCTCTTATAGCCTAATTTCAAGAGACCAAAATTCGAATTCAAAACTTTTATATTTATAACTCATTCCGATTATNAGTCTCTGGCTTTCAGTTGAAATATATTTTGATTTTCTGCAGTTCAAGAAAATTTGCAACAAGCTAAACAAGACAGAACTTCTTAGTCTCTTACAACATACAAATCAACACAAAGGTGTCTCAGTATGCACAAATCAGAATTCTATGTGCCTTCACCAAAAGATGCATACTCAACCATCAAAGTATTTAACCTTCAAATTTCTTTCCAAACCTAACACTCAACAACCACTAAACTATGCATACCCAAGTTATGACAATATAAAAAACCCAATACTAGAAATTTAATTTATAAACTTTAAAAAAGAAGAAATTTTGTATAATACTAAAACAAAATCGAACCTGCACGTTGAGGGAGAGAACGCCAGGTACCATGGCCATTCTTGGTGATGAAGTCAATAAGAATCTTATCCTCTTCAGGACTCCATGCTCCTTTCCTCACAGCATCTTTGTCACAACAAGGTGCTCTTCCCATCTTCTCCCTCTTTCTCTCTCTCCTCATTCAACCCTCGAAGCATCAGAAAGTCTTTATGGATATGCTTTTTTTGTGAGCTGTGGAGAGAGAAACAGATATGTAGATGTTGATAAGACGGATCAAACGAATGTCGAAGGCATTGAATGCTCTGGATCCCATCTTCTTCATTAATCGAAACACATTATGGCAGAGATCCGTACAGCCCGTAATCAATATCGGTTGGGGTCCTCAGAATGTGGACTTTGCATTTACTCCTAGTTACATTACTATCTTGTTCTACGCCCAAATATATATAGTCTCTCTCAGCCACATTTTACGGAGAAAATAAAAAAAAAATGGCGGAAACGAAAAGGAGGTGAATTTGGTAGCGATGGATACTCACCAGAAAGTCACGTGTTTGTGGCTAATCATAATTTTTGGGGAGTTGAGTTGATGAGTTCACAATTTTTGTCCATGTTCTTCGATCCAACAGTAAGTTTAGGGCTTGTTCAACCACCATATTCGATTTCGGGAGCTGAAAATTTCGAGAATTAGAAAATGTTTCTCTCTCTCTCTCATCGTCCTCCTCCTGCTGCTGCTCTGAGCTGGTGTGCTTAGGCTCTCCGGTGTACTTCTGGGGTGAATCAGATTTAACATTTTGTACCCTACAAGATTTTAAAATTTTCAATTTACACTCCTAATAATTAGTTTTCTCATATTACACCCTCGGTATTATAAAATAGTTGTAATGCGGTACTGACACTAACTTCCATAATTATTTTTATCAAAATTCACTGCGTTTAGGGTGGGGGCCACAGAGCAGATTTGACAAAAGTTATAACAGAAATCAGTGTAAGAACAATATTGAACTTATTTTATATTATTGATGGTGTAATATAAAAAAATTAATTATGAAAAGTGTAAATTAAAAATTTTAAAATCTTTTAAATTACAACGTGTAATTTGCTCTTATTCATTTACACGCTAAAAGAGTAAAAGATCACAGAAAGATTGTGAATTGATTAGGCAAATTCTATTGCAGCCCCTATAGTTTGGTCGAATTACACTTTACTCCCATCAAAGATAATATCATAATAACTCTTTTGAGTTCGCATACCAAATACGTACGTGGATCTGCATGGGCCGGAGCAGGCATTGGACATTGGAGGGCCCAATTNTTTTGTATAATACTAAAACAAAATCGAACCTGCACGTTGAGGGAGAGAACGCCAGGTACCATGGCCATTCTTGGTGATGAAGTCAATAAGAATCTTATCCTCTTCAGGACTCCATGCTCCTTTCCTCACAGCATCTTTGTCACAACAAGGTGCTCTTCCCATCTTCTCCCTCTTTCTCTNGGTCAACCTTGCCATTGGGCCGCAATCTACTTAGCTGGTTTATAATTTTTTTTTTTTTTTATTTAATCATGTTCAAAATAGTATTCACGTATTTTGATTAATTTTTTTTTTGATCCGGTCAAAGGCATCTCAATATCGGAACTAGGATATTCACGAATGATAAATCTCTTATAGCCTAATTTCAGGAGACCAAAATTCGAATTCAAAACTTTTATATTTATAACTCATTCCGATTACNCTCTCTCCTCATTCAACCCTCGAAGCATCAGAAAGTCTTTATGGATATGCTTTTTTTGTGAGCTGTGGAGAGAGAAACAGATATGTAGATGTTGATAAGACGGATCAAACGAATGTCGAAGGCATTGAATGCTCTGGATCCCATCTTCTTCATTAATCGAAACACATTATGGCAGAGATCCGTACAGCCCGTAATCAATATCGGTTGGGGTCCTCAGAATGTGGACTTTGCATTTACTCCTAGTTACATTACTATCTTGTTCTACGNTAATTTTGGAGGATCAATGGGTCAGACCACCTTTATGGGCAGGTTCGTTAGCTCCATCTGTACAAGATGGTGCAACAAGAAGACTTGCAACCTATTTTTGTTTTTTTTTTATCAAGTGATATACGATCTAACTTATGCGCATTTTGAATAATCATCAAATCTCCTCTATGGTCAATTTGACATATACATATCAATTTGAGACCGCGTTTCTTGTACCCGCCCAAAAAGTGTACAATTTGTATTAAACATCAGATAGCTCCAATAACAATATATGCAATAAATGTGTGAATGTTGGAGTTTCCATGCGTATGAGTAGAGGAATCTAACTGAGTTGTCAATACTACTTTAATTATCCTTATCCTTAAACCTTAAAATCAATTTTAAAAACAGTAATACTAAATTGATCAAATTTTGATACTAAATTTAGAGTTCAAATAACATGACAGTTAATTTGGGTTTTTTTAATTGGTGTGATATTATTTAGGTCCCAATAAAATCTTTAAATACTCAACTGCCATGTTATTTGGACTCTAAATTTAATTTCAAAATTTGATCAGTATAATATTACTCTTTTAAAATTGGCCCACCATGTTTCCATTTGTTTTGCCGTCCCTCGACATGTTTAAGCTTTTCTCCACCGCGTATGGGTATCTTTTGAGCACACAACGAATAACTTCACCTCCAAGTTTTCTCTCATTTCCTTGTTCCCTCTCTTTTCCTTTCCTATAAAGCTCCTTTTTCTTCCTCTTTTAAGTCTCAAAACACCACAAACCAGAGTCACTTTCCAAAGAGCTTCTTCAATTCTCCAAAGGTTGACCCACCAAAAACTTCAATCTTTTTAAGCCTTTGAACTTCTCTAGAGAGAGAGAGAGAGAGAGTCTTATCCATTCAAAAAGATTGTTTCGAGATGGTGAAGCTAACAATAGTTGGAAGGGTGTGCGATGGGTTGCCTCTAGCCCAAGGTCAAAGATATGTCAATGAAAAGAATGACAACTTCTCAAGTTACAAGCAACAAGGAGAGTTCATACTAGAAGAAATCTCAAGAGGAACCTTGCCACTCTCAACGATGACCATTAGTGTCGATCAACACTGTTTCAAGTATCTTTTTCTTCTCCCATTTCAGCAAAAATAAGCACCTTCTTATGAATACATGTCATTGGATTGTGTATGTCTTAATGTCTTTAGGATCACATTTTTAGGACTTCCAAAGTGACACCATTTACATCTTTTATGTCATTCTTGTTGATGACTCCAAGACTCCTTGATGGCTCAGTTGTGATAAAATACTTTTGAGCAAAGTGGATTTGTCTAAGTGGTTAAGAAGTTGTACAGTGTACACCCTTAGGCACGACCTGGGGTCGAGTCAAACCCTCAAACTGCGAGTTCTATTCCCTGTTCCCCTTGGACTAAGCTTACTCATTGACGTAAATGAAATAAAAATTGATAAATTGAATGCATTTGAGTTCCATAACATGATTTTTGGTTGTATGCCTGTCAATGCAATAGAACTAATGTAATGCAAATTAAGCTCTATAGGAATTACATCTCAAAACATATAGCGGTGACTACATTTGTTTATTAAACTTAATGTTGTGGTTTTCAGCTATATGGTTGAGAATGGAGTTTGCTTCATTACACTCTGTGATTCCTCATATCCAATAAAGCTAGCCTTCCACTATTTACAAGATTTGCAAAGGGAGTTTGAGAAGTTTGATATGACCCTCTTGGAGAAAATTACAAAACCATACAGTTTTGTTAGATTTGGTAAAGCCTATTATGTTTCATAATCTTAATCTTCTTTTCCTTTGCTTCCCAGCAATCAGTAAATACCAATATTTGATGACTCGAGTTAATTCTTATTCGTTTCCTGTGGCTTGAAGATGGCATTATTAGCAGTACTAGAAGACAATACATAGATACAAGGACACAGGCAAATCTATCAAAGCTAAGTGCTAATCGTCGACAGGAACTAGATATTGTTACAGAACATATATCTGAAATATTTGAAAGAAGACGAAGAACGGGTGAGCTTATTATCATACTTAAGTGTTTCTATTGTTGAACTTCAATTACATTCAAGATGTGCAAATTACTAATGTGACTTTTTTTTTTTAGTATCATCAGAGATGCTGGAAATGATGATGGAAGCGCCTCGAAATGTATCTCCAGTCTGGGGTTCCAAAAGTCTTGAGGTATGTTCATCAATGTGCAATACACAAACAAGT